TGCGGTACTTTGACTGACATTTATTTTGTCATGCAACGCTGTACTTTCTTTTGGTGGTATTTAATCACCACTGCAGGTTTTATTTTTTACTATATTAAGGAAAAATTACCGAATAAAAAAAAGAAACTTTCCCTATATTAAATGATAAAACATTTATTATTACCCGATTTTTTGGTAAAATATAAAAGACGGGTCACATCAGATAAAAAGACGCCAAACATGTCAAGCCTTAAAATTGCGTGCGCGAAAACCTCAAAAAACGATAATACCCAAAATTGGCCATAGGCTACACATTACAAGCTTTTACCGCTCATCAGTTTAGTGTTATCAGTGATTGATGGCCCATCCGTACGCGTGCGCTAGGGGACGGCAACTGGTTAAGCACTACCAAAAATGTAAATGATGACCTCTAATAACTATTACTTTCTCTCCTGGAACATTAGAGGTATGGGTACTCCTCACAAGAACCATGGTCCAATACTTCAAAAATCTAATGCTGAAGCAATTTGTTTACAGGAAAAGCATCTTATGTAAACCATGGCTGCCATGGTCTAGTCACTCATGGCACTCTTTATATTCTACGAGTTTCCTTAATGGTTCATAAATCAGCCCAATAGGAAGGGAATGCATTCAAACTAAATGTGACCCTAAAGGCCAGGATATCTTTTTGTATACTATTCTATATTCCATAGCTTTTATTATTATTGGACTGAACAATCCATCCTCATCTCATTAAACATTATACATGGCTAAATCCTTAAATTAGTATTAAGGTTTGGGTGTTTTTTACCTTAATGCATTCTCTGCATTAGGGTGAAAACAGCCCAGCACCTTTTTTCTACCCCAGTCCCCCCCACACTTACCTGTCCGCTGCGCTCGTCCCCGCCGCTGGTCCAAAGCGATCCTCCATTACCCAAACTTCCGGGTTGCGGGGGGAGGATACTGATGGCAGAGGAGCCATAGGCTCCTTCTGCCATCAATCAAAGAGGGAAGGGGCGTGGTCTGCCACAAGGCTGTGTGTGTCTATGGACTCGCACAGCCACTGCGGAAATGAGAAGGCACGAGCGCGTGCCGGAAAAGCCCTGCAAAGAGCCACTAGAAAACGAGGAATTAGAAACTTTTAAAGAAAAAGAGCAACAGCTCCAGCAAAGGAGGGTCTCCTTAAAGGAGAAATTAAAAAAAAAATATAGGCTTTAATATCACAATATCGTGCCAACATTTGAAAAAAAAAATTCAGGGACACCTCTTTTGTTGTGTGTCCAGCAAATAAATTTTTAAAAAAATATAGGCTTTAATATCACTTTAATAGCACAATATTGTGCCTTTTGAAAAAAAAAATTCAGGGACACCTCTTTTGTTGTGTGTCCAGCAAGCCATTGCAGGCAGAGTATATACTTTAATTAGGTGATGAGCATTAATTTTAAATGGGTGTGGTTCTACCAGGTGCATATAATTAACCTACTGTATATTTTATTCATAAGAACAGAAACACAGTGAAGATGGCTAGCTACAACTTTTAATTCGTGCAGCCTATTTAAAGTGCGGCAGCCCAACATGTGTTGCAGAGAATACAGTGATAAACACCAATTACACTACAAACACAGTTGGCATAAAATATCATTTGACACTGACCTTTCTGCTGGGTACTGTGACACCTTTTGTGGCTGCTGAGGAGTTATTATTATTATACAGGATTTATATAGCGCCAATAGTTTGCACAGCGCTTTACAATATAAGGAAGACATTACAGTCACAATACAATTTAAGACAAGATGGTAAGGAGGGCCCTGCCCGTGAGGGCTTTCAATCTGAAAGGGAGGGGCAAGTGATACATGAGGAGGTAGCTGCGCGGGGATGATTGTTTGAGAAAGTGATTGTTCAGTGGTTAGGTTGAGGTGGGATAGGCTTCCCTGAAGAGATGAGTCTTAAGGGATCGCCTAAAGGCAGTCAGTGTGGGAGATAGACGGACATGTTGGGGTAGAGAGTTCCATAGAATGGGAGACACTCTAGTGAAGTCCTGGAGGCGAGCATGGGAGGAGTTGATGACAGAGCTGGAAAGCAGGAGGTCTTGTGAAGAACGGAGGGGACGCTTAGGGTAATACTTTGAGACCAGGTTGGAGATATAGCCGGGGCCAGAGTTGTGGATGGCTTTGTACGCGGTTGTTAATATTTTGAATTTTATCCTTTGGGCTATAGGAAGCCAGTGTAGTTAAAGGTTTTTATAGCAAAAATCATGTAATAAACTAGTTAGGACTCCATTACCCAGCTTAATACAGTGTAAAACATAGTAAATGTAGTGCAGGGGTTAGAAGTATAATGTAACATAACATATACAGTGTGGGGATCAGAAGTGTAACATACAACATAGCACATAGAATGCAGGAGGCAGGAGAATAATGTATAACAGTGAATGCAGTGCAGGGTTGTTAGGGAAGGAGCAAAGTCCCCCTGTTTGCTGGATTGGAACCCAATAGCAGGGAACAATACCAGAGAGTCCAGGCTGAGGTACAAGATAGGATGCTCCAAAATGCGTTGTCAGAGTACAGTCCGGGTCAAGGCAGGCAGCGAGTATCATAAACGGTGAGGCAATCCAGGGGTCGATAACCAGGAGATACAAATAGCAGGGAAGGAAGGCAGGAAACCGGAAATGAGGCGTCGTAGCTGCTTTGGGAATGGCAGAATAATTCAGCAAGTCTTGGCTCTGACTGGAAATTAAACCCAGCAGGGGCCAGCGACGCCCTCGTTGTCTGGGCAACAAGGAAGCCACAGGTCCCTGGGAACCAATGGGACAGCTAGGAGAGAGGGAGTGCTCGTAAGGCCCTCCCTGGCAATGATCAGCACCTGAAGCGACTAAGAAGCCACAGCAGCGCCACATGGGCACACCCGAAACCTGCCCCCACCGGGCACCAAATCACCCTAAGAAGGACCCTACAATCTCCGCCGGACCCCAGGTAAGAGGGCACCCCTGGTCCCACTACAAGGGTTCAGGAATATAATATACAACATTGAGAATGCAGTGCAGGGGTCAGGAGAATCGCGTACAACATGGAACATACAGTGTAGGGGTCAGGAGTATAATGTACAACATTGCAATGCAGTACAGGGGGCAGGAATATAATACACAACGTGGTGAATGCAATGCGGAGATCAGTAGTATAATGTACAAAATAGCATATATTGTACAGGGGTGAGGGTATAATGTACAGCATTGTGCAAATAAAGTGCAGGGGTCAGAAAAATAACATACAACATAGCATATGCAGTGCAGGGGCCAGGAGTATAACGTAGAACAATGTAAATGAAAGAGTCAGGAGTGTACTGTACAACATAGTGAATGGGGTCAGGACTATGAAGGTTACAGTACTATGTACAGAGTGCGGTGACCAGTAATATTGTGTCCCTTACTGCTGGTAATAGTCGTAAGGTGTATGGGCAGCGTGCGACCGCATTTACTGTACGGTCGCATGATTTTCGTATTACGAGCACACTAGAAAACCGCGATCGCAAGACGAAAGCCGCACGGCCCGAGGTGCGCAAGCGCACACTGCCCGCTCACGATTGCAATCATCTGTAAGCCCCCCCTCCGCGGGGAGGACTTGCGATGATCGCAAGTACGATCTGCCTGTCTAAGATGGACAGGTCGTACAAACTTTTAATCACCTTACAACCATCGCACAAAGAAAGTCGTGCGATGGTTGTAAGGTGTATTGGCCACCTTTACCCTCCTCCTGTAACTCACCCTACCATTATCCAACACCTGGTCTCTGAATTAGGTTGGATAGATCTCTGGTGATACCCGCATCCAGCCATAAAGGCATTTTTGTGTTCCACCTATTGCAGAAAGTCCTTTTCTCACATCGACCTTATGCTGGGCAAAACATTAAGTAACTATGCTAGAATCTATTGTTTTTTGTGACAAGAGATATATCAGATGATTGCCCATATCTCCTTTATCAAAAAAGTCCTCTTGGCAAGCTGAGGAGGAACTTGCCATGGCCGATAACAATGCACAATTCCTCTTTATAGCAAAACCCACTAAGTTGAATTGCTGCAAAGCTTGGGAGAATATGTCTTGACCCTCTAATGACCAGATTACATGAGAATGTCAAACTAAAACTGTTTTTGTTAAACAAGCATACTTTGAATATGCTAATCAATCTAGTGAACTGTCTATATCACCAATCAACATTCTACCTCTATTTTTAAAATCTGAAGTGTGGAGGTTTTTACTGATGAGGATGGTATTTTAAATTTCTTCTGTGAATTCTTTAGATACATTTATACTGTCGCAAAAAAACAAAAGGATATACATACCTACTTTGAGACCAACGTGAAATGGAGCATAAAGTACTCATGGTTATGCAGTGCTTAGAAGTGGACATGCATAAATTCATTGTAGTGGATAGCATTTTGTGCAAGTACGTGCCTCTTTGAACGCAGGTTCGGGAATTTTTATTCATGTCCATGAACGCTGCTCTAGATTACAAATCTAAATGTCACTTGGTGCATGGCCACGTTGACTGCGTTCAGAAGCATGAGCCCTTATGCTGACTGGGTAGATCATGTTTTCCTGAATTCTTGCCCTAGAGCAGTGCATGTAACACACGTCGACAGCCAAACAGCTTGACAGGAGGCAATTATGAACAGAAATTTATGCCAGTAGAAGGTAAAGAACTAAAAGGGGAAGACTTTTCAGACAAAAAGATACTAATTCAGCTGCATTGAATTCCATTTTCTAAATGGCCACAGTTCAGCTTTAATAGCAAGTTGAATAGACTGCGTGCCAGTCATTTTATTGTGGTGATTTTTTACCAGGGAAAAAAAGATAAACATCAGATAAATCAAAACTGGACAACTGAAATTGGGGAAATATGTATTACAAGTGTATGAGATAAATATTATCAGAGTGATTGTTCTATTATGAGAGTTCATCTTGGTATCCTTGATCTGCTTCCACATGAGAGGATAATAAACTGAAATTGGGGCAATATGTATTACAAGTACATCAGGTACACCTTATCAGAGTGATTATTCTATTACAACATCGGTGAGTCCTTCTTGGGATCCTTATCTGCTTCTGTATCAGACTTGGGTGAATCTATGTTGTTTTGCTGCACTTTGGGCAAAACATTGAGGTTCATAAGTTCAAAAGGGAAAGGCACTAGGAAGGTGGCAGGTTTTTCAGATGTCATACACTGCAAAGTGTGCAGGTAACGGAGCTGAATTGCAGTGGGAGATCCAGATAAAGTTTCTGCTGCTACTTTCAGTAATTCAGACACAGTCTTCTCACATTCTGCTGCAAGTACCTGTCACAAAGCACAAGGTAATACTTACATTAGCCAAAAGAATAATGAGAAATAGTTGTAGCTATTTATCGTGCCTTTAAAATGTACCTTCACTTTAACATGTCTTTGTGCTTCTGCCTCTATTGCCATTGTTTGCTTGACTTCTTCTGGCAGGTTTACATCTTTACTAGAAAGAACAACAGGATATATGTCTCTATTACTATGGAACATTGACATAATGTAGCATGATTAGGGCTGTTAGGGTTTTCATGTTAGCTAGTTGCTGCAAGTGTGGCATTTGGAGAAAGAACGCATATTTATATTTATAGAACCAAATAAATTTATAGAACCAAAGAAATATATTCATATTTATTTGGTTCTGTGGCGCTTATTTTATGCAGTGATTTTATACAGGGTAGGGAGGACTAATGTAATAAGCAGACCTTGCCTTTAATTGTAAGATGCACTTTAATTACATCTAGCTTGGTAGTGTGACTAGCAAAATGTACATTACAAAGCAAGAGTTTTGTCTGCAAATTAGACCTATTTTGTAAATTGACCATTTGCCAATTTGACCATTTCTGTTAACAAGAGGAGACAAAGTGGTTGTGTTATGGCGCATGATTTTACTTGTCAACTGTCATACCTACATTTCTGTCCTTTCCACTTTAATCCCCCAATGACAAGTTACAGCATCCAAAGCCACCTGCAAAAGCATCAGAAAGTACATCATACATATTTTCTTTTGTTGGAACTGATAAATGCACAAGAAAACCGAAATATTAAAAAATCATGAATGCCTATTTAATGATATTTAGGCCTCGCTTAAAAAATATCTCAGAATCAACTGTCTACATTAATTGGTCTTCTTATAGCTTTAGAGAGCGATATTTCAAACTACTCCCACATTCATTGCAGAACACCACAATGATAACACGCTATTGTGCTTTGTGGTGCACTGTGGTGCAAATAATGGAGCTTATCTTTTTTTTTTTTTACTGTTTTGGTGCTTTGCCAACTAATTTATTTGAATGGGCTGCGTAGCTCAACACACATTAATAGACCAGGATGATCAGAAGGTGTGAATCAGCCCTTAAGCGTAATTTCTTTCTTTTTAATTTAGGAAAGTGTAGTTTTGTTTTAGTGAAGGGTTAAACCTCTTTTGTTGCTGTCTGTGTCCCATTGGGGCAGGGCTGTAGCTACCATGGGGCGATTGAGGCACTTGCCTCAGGTGCAGTGAGAGGGGGGCGCAGCCAGAGCAGGCCATTGGCAACAGGTGCGCCATGTGGCCAACACAGCCACTGTGCGGCTTTCACATTTTCTGCAGAAGACGTGTATCCAAACCTCTGTTATTAACCTTATTGGTGAGACAAGTTTTTTTACATGCTGGCTTGTGAGTGTGCCATGATTCCTTTCTACTGTATGTGGCCAACACAGCCGCGGCTCGGCATGGAAAAGAGGGGCGGCACAGGCTCCAGCTTCTCCTCGCCACCCGGCTGCTCTCCCCACCTGTATGGGCAGAGGACCCTGTGTCCTCAATCTCTTTTTCTAGTTCAAAAGGGAAATATCAGGGGTCTGTTTAGACCTCCAATATTTCCCCAAAGCCCACCAACAGTAAAAAAAAAAAAATTATAATACAAAAAAAACCAAAACACCCCCTGCCCCAATCCCCCACACATAAATGCACAAATATTACTAGAGATGTGCAAAGACTAAAAATTTGTTTCGGACAAAACTCATTTTTATGCTATATGGATTTGGTCATCAGCGCATTTTGCACATGCGCCCCCCTGGGGGCGGGGGGCATGACGTCACATACCGCACACGTCTGTTGGGGGGCACAATTTTCTGTTCTTGCCTCTGGGGCAAAAGGAGCTAGCTACGGCTCTGCATTGGGGAGATTTCCCTTTACTGTCCTGGAGATACAGTAAGGAAATTCTACAAAATTAGGATAATTCTTCTCTTGGACAAATGTCAGTGGGACAGGAGTCTCCACTGGAAATCTTCCCCTAAACTCTTCTAGCTACAAGTGTAACATTTTGGGTATTTCCATCACTTTCTGTCCAAGTGTCGGTGGCCACCAGGACAAAAAGAGAGGGTGAATGAACCTAGTGGTTAAAAGAACGTTTGGGCTATAAGTACGCTTTAATCGTTCCGGGTGCGGGCGATCAAACTGTGGGTGGGGTACATGGCTGCGGTGCAACCACACTCCCCCCCCCCCGCTGCATTCCAGTGCG